TTTATGCATCTTTCTGATGTGGGGCTTGATGCCAGCATCAAAATTCTGTCCTTTGCTGGACCAAAAGAACCATTGGCAGCTCTGTGACGTTAATTTCTGCAAGGCTAAGTGATAATTCAGGCAGATTAGTGAATCGGTCTCGTGCACTGCAGTGATCTGATCTCGTGGCTCCTTCTAGAAATGAAATTCTTCAATCCCAAACATATATTTTTCCTATCAAAACACCAGACGTATGTTAGTGCCAGCAAGAAACATGGCAGTGTGTTGGTTCTATCCTGGTCTGTGATTACCAGGACATGAGAAACCAGACCTTGGGTGTGGAGTTGCTTTGGGAATGTGCAGGAGAAACTTGCACAGATGCTGTGCAGGTCTGTGTGAAGCTGATCTCTCTCTCAAAACTCAAGGTAAGCATTTCCCACTTCTTTTAAATTAAGAAGCTCTGCCTGTTAAATGACTCACGCTGAACATCTACCCTGTGTTGTCACTTCTGGTAGAGGGGCACCTCTGTCCCTTAAACCACAGATGTTCAACAGGAAGTATGCAGGGCTGCACAGAGCCTGTCTGTCAGCCTGCCTGTTTGTCTGCAGAGACCTGCAAGAGGAGATAAGCTAGCTGCTGCAGCTGCAGTGGGAAGCCATGCAGCTGGCTGTGCTCCCTCCTGGGGCAGGCACACACAGCTTGCTGCTCTCTGATACAGTCCAGTGTGTGACCTGACTGTGGCTTCTTTCAAATTGCCTTCACCACGAGGGATGATGTTAAGCAGCGCTGCCCCTCCTGCGGAACAAATAACCATTCGCTTGCAGCTTCTTGGGCATGGCAGATGGGTTGGTGGTGGGTCCTGGTGATCTTGGTGGTCTTTTCCAGTCTTAATGATTGTATGATTTGATTCTATGGTTCTATACTGAAGCATTTGTTGGGTCTGAAAATTGCTCTGCTTGCTTCAGCAGAAAGCAGTGACTTGAATGAGAAACCTCCCTCCCCCAGAACCGCAGTTTTACATATTTCTTCATTCCTTGGAAACGCTTCCCCTAATTCTAGTTTAACTGATTGACCTCTTGTGTACTGAAGACTTCAGGTTTGAGCTGGCTGGGGTTCTGGGACCATGTAAAAGGCCATTGGTGTCAGAAGCTGCTTATTCATTTCAGCAGTTGACTCAATTCGGTAGCTGCATCAAGCATGTTCTTTTTCTTTTGTTTTGCTTTGTCTCAGGTGCTTTATGAATTCTAACAGCCTTTTCACGTTTGCTCTTTTAATTTAGCACATAAAGACATCATTTGTTTCTATTTATCTCTAATTGCATTTGGATCACTCTTCAGGAGGGCATGCACCAAGTGACATGAATAACCTGCTAAGCAGAACACAGAATGCTTAGCACCTGCAATATGTTCAGATTTCTCATTTGTTTCAGCTATAGAATTGCTTTAGTACATAATTTTCCTCCTTTTTAGCCAAGAGGGGAAATGTAGCACTAAGCTGTGCTTACTTGCAAGTAAACAGGTCTTAATTCCAACTGAGACTCACCCTACCCGAGAAACAAATGCAAAAACAGATTAAAATCGGTGACCTCAAACAAGATTTCCTGCTTGCTGATTCTGAAATATGATTAAAATTGACTCAAATGCTTTGTCTGAAGTGGGCCCACCCTGAGCATCGTTGGCTCTGAGCACCTGGCCAGCACTTTGCTGGCATTCCAACATGCAGTGCCAGCTGTTGATACGTGGCAGCACTCAGGCGGGTGGCCCAGGACCAGCAGCAGCTCTTCAGTGAGCCTGGAAAAGTGAGGGCCGTGCTGTGGAGCCCATTGAAGGTAGTGCTGGGGCTCCTCAAAATTATGTTCAAATTTCCTTTCTTGCCTTTCAGAATCAGGCAAACACTCCGGCCCAAAGCTTTCCAAGTCCAAGTAGGGAAAATTCTGGAGTTCAAAGCCAACAGAGGTAACTAACCTTGCTTTGGGCACTCACCCTTCTGGTAGAAGGAGGGGCAGCTTTGTCCTGCCTGTTCTCCAAAACCGATCAGGATAGCTCAGTGTCAGGTAACAAGAAGTTGCAGTCTCTTTGTTTTTGTTCAGTGAGACTCTCCCATCACAACTCGTGAAGGCTGTAATTGTGGGAGCACCGGGAAAGCTGCACTTGGTGAGCTGTCTCTGCTCTTGCACAAGGCTCTGGTGATTACCTGCTGGCAGCACCCATCTGCCTTGTGCAATGCACCACGCCGTTCCAAATCACTGCAGCTGCACTTCTGTATGCAGAGGTGACAGTAGGCTGTGGCTTCATGGATGCTTGTCTGATGGCAAAGCTGACAGGGTTTCCTTCTGCTGCCCTGCCCAGCTCTAGAGGCTGAGCCTTTCCAAAAGTCACCAAGGGCTTAAGATAAAAGCAGAGCTGTGTCCTGAATGTGCAGAAATACTTCGAGGCATGTTTAGGACATGCAAACATGTGCAAGGCAGACTCCTTCCTTGTTATCAGCTCCAGCAATCCATCTGCCTGTGTAGGACACTGCTGTGCCCCAGCACGTGTCTCTAGACTGCACATCAATGCATCAGAGCTCATAAATGCTGCCAAGCCAGTACAGCACACATTTGGGCTCATGAGATGTCAGGGTCAGTGCAGGCAGAGGCATCTGCCTGCCTTCACCTGTCTGCACCTGTGAAAGCATCCCTGCATGGAGGTGTGGGACCTGGTTCCCATCCTGGGGATTGATCGGTTGCTGCAGTGAAACCAAGGCTCACCCTCTGCCCTTGTGCCTTAGGGACTGAAAGGGGAGAATCCTCTTTGCTCTCTTGGGGATGTTGACCTCATGCTGTGCTTTTGCTTTTTCTATTTTAGTGGTACAATATGTAAATATGTTGTTTGTGCTAAGAAATGAAGTTTTGTCTATCAAATCACAGCTTGGAGCTGCTCTTTTACTGTGGCTTGATACCTGAGTGGCAATGATTGTGCTCTTCATGGGAAATCAAATTTGGGAATAAGGGTGGAGATGATGAGGATTCAGCTCATAGCACTGCTTAGTAATAGGAAGTTCATTCCAGTTTCCCTTCCATGGGGTTGTATCCCAGTCCTGGAGTACAGCATGTCTTTGTATATATGTATCTGTGTATGTGCGTATATGGGCATGTTTCTAACAGGAGACTTGTGCCTACAAACACCAGCAGTGAGCATGACAGCTAAGAGAAGAAAACATTGGTGTTAGTGATAATCTGTCGGATCCCTAAGTAATGGATTGCTTACTAATCCTGATGAGTGTAAACCACCAGACCTGTGTACTTGAGAAGGTGAACCATCTGGAGGCTGTGGAAGGTAACATTGCCTGCAACACAGCCCCTTTGTTCTGCTACAGAACGCAGCACTGCAAGATGCTGCTCAGGAGAGGTGCTCGGGGCAATCTCCTACACAGAATACTGCAAATAACTGCCTGGGTTCCATGAGGCTCTGAACTGAGCCCTTCAGAATTAAGGGGAAAGTTCAAAAACCCTCTGTGTTCTGCTTGGGTTCCATTATGCTGCTACTTCCATGTATTGTTTTTCTGTTAGAGCTGGCAAGATGTTTCTGTAGGAAAAGTGCTGTTTCTTCTCATCTTGCTGATCCTCCTGTTAGTGCCCCAATGGCTTTGAACCTGTAGCGTGACCCCATGGGCACTCACAGCAGTAAAGGATCCCTTCCCAACACAACCCAAGAGCTGCTGCCTAAATGGACCAGGAAAGGCAGTGGGGAAAGACAGAATGGCTGAGGTGATGCAGGAGGGTCAGGGTGGCATGGTGGAAGGCTGAGGACCATTATGGTGCTGGTGCTCTGCCAGAGCAGCCCTGTTTATGAGGTGTAGCCCTGTTTTGTTGGGTTTTTTTTTGCTCTTATTTTAGGAAGTGAGTGCTCCAAGCTTTTTCTGTTCATCCCCATCTGAGATAGATAGGCAGGAGTTGTAATTTAGAGCCTGCTGGAGCCAAAACACTGCCATGCCACGGATACCTACAATGGGAACAATGTTTTGGGGTGAGACAAGTGTTTCAGTGCCATTTTCTGGTAGTCCTTTGCCACGAGGGATCCCCAGTATAGGTTTAGCCTCTAAATGTTGTAGCCTGAATGTGTTATGGACAAAGGAGCTCAGCAGACACCAGCAGCTCCCTGGGCTGCAGCATTGTTTCTGCATGGCCGGCTCAGTGCTGTGTGCTGAGCTTTCATGTACTGCCATCTAAAGAGGCATCTTTTGGTGTGACAGCGGGCAGGGAACATGTGGGGTGGGATTGGCACCCAGGAGAGCAGGGAGGATCTGTGTCACCTGCACGCCTGCTAGAATTCTGACAAACATGATCACTAGTTAAGCAATACTGATATTTAAGCCCTCATCTTTGTTTCAGGGCTCTACTGAATAGGAGCAGTTTAAACAGAACTTCTGTTTCAAGCCGTCAGCTGCTGTAGCTTAGGCAACATTTCTAATGATTGTTTGGCCATGAGAGTTGCAAAGGCAGAAATATGGTTGTTGAGGAGGCCACAGAGTGCATTCTGCAGGGAAGGAATGGGTCAGGGATGGGCAGCTCCTGTTGGAAAGGATGCAGCTTACTCAGATTCTTCTTTCTTGGGCTGGTAGCATTTCTTTTCTGCAGGAAACATTTCTGCTCAGACAGAGCAGCGAGGCACTGCACAGCTGCACAGGGAGGTGGGGGTCACCATCCGTGGTGGTGTACAGAGCCGTGGAGATGTGGCACTGAGGGACGTGGGCAATGGGCACGGTGACATGAGGTGCAGTCGGACTCGGGGATCTCAGGGGTCTTCTCCAACCTTAGTGATTCTGTGATTCTCTAATAGGAATCCATAGCTGAGGGCGGGGGGATGGCTGCAGCACGGCCTTCCCCTCCCATTCCAGCACTCCCTGCTCACTCCAGCAGTGTAGTCCCCACACGGCTCTGCAGCGAACCTCCTTAAGAGCACAGAAAGGGGAGGAGGAAGCGCAGCTCTCCGGCTCCCGCAACCCCACCTCCCGGTTATTTCATCTTCCTTACAAGGCTAAAGCTAGAAGCTTTCCTCTGCCTCTGGGTCCCTTAAAAGCAGCGCGGCGAGCCCAGGGCTGTCAGTGGGATGTGGGGATGGGGGCACGGTGGGGAGCCCTACCCCCACTGACCCGGCTCTGCAGGAGGAGCACCGAACCAACCCATCAGGAGACACCGAGGGGGACCAGAGCGCAACATGAGGGGTAAATATATTTTTCATTGGGAAGAGCAAAAGTAACTGGCTTTGTTTAGTCTGAAATTCGTTATTGTAAGCAGCTGTCCAACAATGAGGACTCAGAAATGCATTGGCTGACACCTGGGCAGAGCCTTAGGTCTGAGTTTGCTTCCCAGAGCAGCACTGGGTTAGAAAGACCAACGTGAATTCACATGGCTGTAGAAATTCTGTGTTTTCTCTATAGCCATTCACACCTGGGAACATTTTTTTAGAATCTGATTTCCTTTTTTGCTGTTACTGAAGCATTTTGAGTAGCAGTACATATGTTGCTATAAAAACAGAAAAAGCTGCAGAACCAAAACCCCTCTGAGAATGTGATAAGGACCAGGTCTTCCACCACAGCCAAGGGCCTCTGGGACATCTCAGATGTTCCTGCCCCTCTGTTCCTGTGCTGTCTGTTAGTGCCATTCCTCCAGACAGATCCATGCCCCACTGCGCTGGAATGTCTAGCTGAGGTTGCTGCAGCTGGTATTTGGGATTCAGGTTTTTTTCCAGTTTAATTGAAACAAGATGAAGTTGTCTGCTGAATTGTTTCCGTGTCTGACCATCCAGTCTGTCTGCAGTGCGATACTGGAACTGCTGAGTGCAAATAGATAAAGGGAAAACATCTCAGTGGCTGGGAACTGCTGTGGGCCAGACTGCTGGTGGGGTCAGAGCAGCCAGGGCAGAGGACGCAGCCACTCTCGCAAATATGATACTACCAACATCAGTGTAACTGTAAGGCCTGATACCTGAATCGGAGTTCTAGAGAACTTAAAGATGCTCTTATTCAACAGGTAAAATGAAAAACTGTCCTTGGGAGAGCAGCTCCTGAGAGCTGTGACGGAGCCCCGCGGATCGCTGCCTCCCTAAGGCTCAGCCCAGCCTGGAGCTGGGTGGCTTTGCTGCGAGGATGGAAGTGCTGCGCCGCTCCTCCGTCTTTGCTGCAGAGGTGATGGAGGTGTTTGACAGGTCTCCCACTGACAAGGAGCTTGTGTCCCAAGCCAAGGCCCTCTGCAGGGACTACATCAACTCGAGGCTGATCCGTGCAGGCGTCAGCTGGAGCAAACCTGAGCACAATACCCCGGTGCCTGGCGGCAAGCTGGCTGAGGTGTCTGCCATCCTGCTGCGCCTGGGTGAGTCCCTGCATGTGGTCTAAGCTTGGGAATCTTCCTTGGCTTGCACATCTTTCATCTTTTAGGTCATTGCTCAGCACTGTGGTTCCGAGACCCAACAGCAAATGATGTTTAAACTGTGTAGAACTGCATCTGCGTGAGAGTTTTGTTTCTCTCTGTAGTTTTTCTCAGCTTGGCATTTTGAACGGGGCTTGTGGTTCTCCAGGCACAGGTGGGATCCTGGCAGCTCCATGCCTGGGCTTCATCAGCAGCTCACAGAGGTGGTTGCTCACCCAGCTGCAGGGATGTTTAAGGGTAATTGCTTAGATGTGTGTACCAGAGATTTTATAACACTGCTTTTCAGTGGCAGTGTGTTAGTGTACTCTCTTCGCCTTTCCCTACCCCAATCATTTAGCAACTTCTTTTCCTGTTTTTGGTCACTGGGGCAGCTGTAGAATCTTCCATGCTTGGGGCAGTGTACCAATCATTGATACAGGGACCTCTGCACCAAACTAAGCCTTGTGATGCAGGACAATAAGGATGGCTATCTGTGCCCAGCAGCACAGAGCAGTAGAGACTTCTTCAGTCATGGCAGTTGTGGACACTCAGCGGCTGCCCTGGCAGAGCACTCAGCTGTGCACTTGACATGGCTGTGGGAGCAGCTCTGGAGCAGTGCTTGCAGCCCATGCACCCTCTGGCTGCTGCCCATTGCCTACCTTTGGCTTTAGGCTTTGACCTGCATGCTCAAGTGAAGCACTCTGCTCTAGATCCCAGCGCTCTGGTTCTAGGAGGTTGCTTCCAACATCCCTCTTTGCCTGCAGGTTGGAATATCAGTTCACATTTGGCTTGGAAACTACCATTGGCATTTGCATCTGATTTAATTACACCAAAGTTCAAGTAAGTCTGGTGAAGCAACCTTTAACTGAGCCCAACCAAATCAGTGGCAGACTGGTTCCCCCACTTTCTCCTCTTTCTAGTTCTTTTGGATGTTATCCCAAATTTGTTTTTAAGGCATACATGGTTTTCTTTTGGCTGGCTTTTATTAAATTACTCTTCTTTTACATGTTTTCTCTCGTACGCTGAATCTTCTGTTGTTTTTGTCCATCTGTCAGCCTGGCTGCCTCTTTGTCTCCCCAGTTTTTCTTGGGCTGGGGTTGAGCCAGATCTTCTGTGGGAGGCCAGGAGGACACTGAAGGGCGAGCAGGTGGCAGCCTGTGTCTGGAGGCGTCTCCTGGGTGACTCTGCTACCACTGATTCTCCTCCAGATGGAGAGGCTTGGCTGACAAAATCTGCTTGGAGAGAGCCATGGCTTGCTTGGCTCCCGTGCAGCAAGAAGGGGGAGCTGTCCTTCTTGGTAGGATAGTCAGAGGTGGTAAAACCCAATGATATGGCCAAGAGATCTCAGACCAACCTACCACATGTGGTGTAGGTCTGGTGTACCTGAACCAGAGGTTGCAGCACCAGGAGCAGGCTGCAGGCACTGAGCCCAGCCCAAATTATGTCCCAGCCACCCCTCTGGGCTGGGGACAAGGCTGTGTGCTCCTTGTGGAGCCAGAGCAGCTGCTGAGGATATAAGGAATGGTGCCTCTTATCAGCCCTGGCCATGCAGGCTCAGGGTTTCCTCTTTCCTCAGCCCATGTGGAACAATGCACCAGGCACAAGGGGCCAGAAGAATTTGTTTGTGGCCTCCTGTGAAGCTGGACTCTGCTTGTCTTGTGCTGAGTGCTGGGGAATAGTTTTATGAATTCAAGTTGAGCAGCTGCTGCTTAACAAACCCCTGATGGGATGATGCCTTTGTTCCCATTTAATGCCATCCTCTGGGTGCTTGGTTGCCTTCTGGCTGGGACAAGCCACCTTGGCCCTGCAGTGACATTGACTCGATGGTTCGTACGGATCCCACCCAAGTCAGAGTGCTCAAGTGACCCTATGGATGTCTAGGGGCCGTGACAGCTCTCCTCTTCCCCTGCGTCCTCCAATGCAGAAGGATGAGCATTCATCTAGATGGCCAAGTGAGAATCTCCATGCACACAAGGCTTTGGTCCCATGCCATGCTCACATCGTGTAACACTCCTACAGCATCTTCTTAAATATCCATGAGAGGTAAAACAATTAGAGATAGCAGTTAACGATTGTACTGGTCAGGATGGCTTGTTAGACTGCAGAGGAAAGCTGTGCTGCTCATGTTCCAGCACAAGCCTGCTAGGAGGATGTTCTCTGTTTGCCCTCCTCTTTCTGTCTTGATGTTCGAGCTAACGTGACACCACCAACTGGGTCCCAGCTGGGGAAAAAACAACCTGGGTAGAAAGCACATCCTGTGTATGCCAGGAACTTTGCTGGGGAAGCCAGGCAGGCAAATGGAGTGCTGGGAGTTGGGTAGGAGCTCTGCTCTGTCACTCTGTGCACAAAGAGTTGAGCCGGGAGTCTCTGCTCAATGCTGTGTGGCTCCAGGTGGACTCCTGGCTTCTGTCTGCCTCCAGCACGCCTGAGTCACTCTCATCTCATGACTTTTTTTGTACAGGTTGAGAAAGGTTGTACCTTCCAACAGCTCACACAGGTGTATGTGCCTCTTTTTTGCTGCCGGCTTTGTTCCTTTCAGACTGTGGGGAAAGGAGGGCGCAGGCGATACTGGCACAAAGGACCGAGGTGCCGGGGCTGCTTCTAAGTGACCCATGAGCTGTGCTGCCTGTTTTACACCAGATGGAAGGACGGCCTCAGCCATGATTCCAGCATGCTGACCCCGAGTGCTTGCTTGCAGGGGACGAGCTGGAATACATTCGCCCCAATGTCTATCGCAACATCGCCCGCCAGCTGAACATCTCGCTGCACTCGGAGACGGTGGTGACGGATGCTTTCCTGGCCGTGGCTGCACAGATCTTCACTGCAGGTACCGCACCCAGACAGGCAGACAGGGCTGGGGCAGGCAGGAACAGGATGGGGCCGCTGTTATGGGATGGCTGCGAGGTGGGGCCAGGTTTAGGAAAGAGCCGTGGGCAGTTTGGCAGCACGCCTTTCTGTAATGATTTAATGAGCTCCTCCATGCTCTGGCGGGGAAGTGCCCCGTTCTGTGCATCCTCCTGGCATTTCTCGCTCATTCTAGAAGCCGTCTCCTGCCCTGCCTCTGTAGGAGGTGGTGTTACCGCATCGCACAGGGAGGTCGCTCATTCCAAGCTCCTTTGCTCACCGCTGGCAACCGGAGCAGGTTCATTACACGGGAGCCTCCCTTGTTCCAGCTCATGCTGCTGGTGCTGGGAGCCAGAGCTAACTCATCACAAGGGAGTTCCCTCTTCCTGGCTTCCTTTCCCCCAGCGACAGCCAGGGCTGCAATGCAGCCTGCTGCTTCCAGCTGCTGCCTTGTGTTTGGAGGCAGGACCGCTCTCCTCTGAGCCACGCAAACATGGCAGGCATGTCTGAGTGTTGCTGTGTCAAAGGACAGTCTTGTCATTTCAGTGCTGAGCTTTATTTGCCTTGAAAAGCAGAGGTCAGGTTTGCAGGCATGGGTGTTTGCAGCACAGACAAGTAGGTTATCTTAGCTGAACACAGCTGACTGCATCCAAACCAGCCCACATCACAAGTGACATGGGGAATTCAACGGAAAGCCGGATGGCTCCAGACAGAGCAGTGTGCCATGTGTTGGGAGAAAGCCCTGCTGGCTGCTGGGAGCCTCACCTCATGCATTGATAGTGTGTGTTTGTTGAGAAATGTGCTTGTTGTTCCTCAGTTCCAAGCTCAGGAGTCGCATGAGAAGCTTGAATGGTCTTAAATGTTGTGGTCTTGTTGAAAGTAAAGCTGGAAATTGTATCTCTTGGCCCCAAACTCAGGGGTTTTGAGGTGGTAAGGCCACAGACTCAGTCCATTGAGAGTGGCAGTTGGGGAAGCTTTGGGGATGTAGTAGGAGCTCAGGCTAAAGCTCTGCTGAGGGTGCTGGGGACTCAGTGCAGCATTAGCCTCCAGCAGATGGTTGTGCATGGGTGTGGGTTCCCAGCTTACCCTGCTCTGCATGCTCTGCTTTCTCTTCTTTCCATCTCTGCTTCATACCAACCAGCAGGACAGCCTGTGGATGTGAGGTTGAGGCAGTGCTTCAGTGGCTTTTGTCAATTCATTACTGTAGCTTCTCTTGCTAGAAGGCTGCTGAGTAGTAGAGGGGGGAAAAGTTCACTGATTTTAACATTCATGAGTCCTAGCAGCAGTCTCAAGACTCGGCATTTAATGTTAAATCCAGCAGATCAGTGCTAGCAGTGACAGCCAGACACTTCTCTCTTTTTTTTTTTTTTGTTTTTTCATAGTTCAGAGGAAAGAGGCTCTTAATGGGTGAAGGAAATGAAAGAGCTCAAATGCAGCCTGAATTTTCAAGCCAGTTACCAATGGCTAAAGCATCTGACCCTGATTTTCACTGTCCAGTTTATTAAGAAAACAGCTCCAGTCTGACACTGCAGTGCCAAGACAGTCTGAGGAGCCCATCAGTCACTTGCAGTGCCTGTCCAGCAATGGAATGTGAGAGTTTTACCCTGTCTTGTTGAAGAGGACAGTTGCACCCCCCTGCTTAGCACTGCTGTGTAGATGTAGCACCGAGGGACATGGTCAGTGGGCACAGTGGAATGGGTTGGTGGTTGGACCAGATGACCTTAGAGGTTTTTTTCCAACTTTGGTGATTCTATGGTTCTATGATTTTACTGGTTTTATAGTTTTGGGTGCTGGTAAGCTCCTAATTAACAGTGCTTGGGCTGCAGTGAGCCCTGTGCAAAAAGGACCAGGGATGCATGAGGTTGCCAAGAGAACATACCTCCCTGCAGCTGGAATGTTGCTAGCAATGCACCTCGCTGCTGCCTCACCCTGCAGGCTTTATGAGCTCCCTGCATTGTGCACATCCCTCTTGGCACCTTTTTCTCCACCAGAGGAGAGCATGCTGAGCCTGGCTCATCCTTCAAGCTGCTGAAACATAGCACAGGATTATGTTTCTCTGAGGTCTGACTGGCAGGTCAGATGGATGCGAGTGGGATGAGGGCAGTTTGTCTGAGTGCTTGGGCAGCACAGTGCTGGGGGCTGCGTGGCCACACGCTCCCCTGGGCTCGCTGACATGCTGTGGGAATGCATTCAAGAGCAGCTTTTTCCTGCTAATTCATTTTCCCTTGGGCTCGCAGTGTTTACATACCTCCAGCTCCAAGGCTGGCCTTGAGGCTGCAGCTTGTATTTCTTACTTTTAAAAACACTTTCTAAGTGGCTTGTCTCATTTTTTTTCTGTCCCACCTCCGTGGGCAGAAATTTTAGGGAATTTTCTGCTTTAATCACTCTTCAATCATTCAGCTGGTGCAGATGCACCCAGCTGCTGCCACCCTGCCTCCAGCAGCAGTGATGGAAGCTTTGGCATGGAGGAATTGTGAGGGAAGGGATTTCTTACTCCCTTACCCCTGCAGCTCAGGTTTGCCAGGAAGCGGCCTCAGGGATTGATTTGATCCTTATAGAGTGCTCTGTAAAGAAGAGGTGATGGGAAGTGACCACTGAGCCCTCCACATCCATCACTTCGACACGCATTGCTGCCAGTTTGTATCATCCATGTGAAGGGGAGGGCTCAGTCCCTGTGCTGGGGAGGGCTTTACCCCCCTGAAATATCTAGAATTCAATAGCCTGCTAGAAGGACCATCGATCAGTGGGGAAGGCAAGAACTGAAGGATCTTTCCCTCCATCCTTCCTTGGAGCTGGACCAACATGTCCATATGGCAAACTGCTTTGCTGTGTGTTAGAACCATAGAATCATAGAATCACAGAGGTTGGAAAAGATCCCTAAGATCCCCAGGTCCAGCCCCAGCCCATCCCACCATGCCCACTGCCCACATCCCCATGGTTCTGGAACACCTCCAGAAAAATAACAGCCACTTTATCAATAACTCCCTAAGATCCTGGGGACAGTGCCTATGGAGAACAGAGCATCACAGGACACTAGTGTGGGTTATTATTGCTGCTACAGTGCCTAGCAAAATGGTCTTTTGTAGATATTGATGTCGCATTAGTCATGAGTGGAAGAACTGCTTTTTTGGAACAGCAAACGGAGATTTGTCAGCGTAACAAACCATTCCTGTGGCTGATATTTGAATAGTTTCTCTGTAAAGCAAACTTCCCAGCATAGCCAAAGGAAATCCACATACCCCTGTGCTGTGTGCATGCAGAGGGCTGCATTCCCAGGTTGCTGCTCCTGTTAAAAGCCTCATCAGAGATTGCTAGCTGTGATGCCTGAGTGTGGAGGATTTACACCCTGTGGTGTTGGCTTATATAGGGATACCCTGGAGCTGGCTGGTGCCCAGAGCACAGCCCAGGCATGGATTGCCAGTGCTGCAGGGAGATGGCTGCTGCTGGGACAGCATCCATGGGGCTCTTGCTGCGGGCAGGCCAGCCTTGCAGGAAGCTCTGCTTAGGGAGGTTAGATAGCTGGCTGGCATGGCTGGCTGCACTGCCCTTGGTGGGACAGGTATGAGCTGTGAAATGCTCGTGGGGTTACCTGGTTGGAGATTGACTCCAGGAAGACTCCAACTGTCTTGAGCTGTAGCTCTATCTCCCTCGTTTGGTCTTTGTCGTAGCAGAATGGACTGTGCAGATGCTTATTGCTCATGTGCTCTGTCTGTCACTTTGGAACAGACTCCTCTAATCTAGAAAAAAAACCAAAAAGCACTGTTTTTATGTCTTTGGGTCATGTCTTTGGGCTGCTTCCTCCAAAGCTGCACGTATGGCGCTAAGCAGTGGTCAAAGCATGCCCAGTTTTAATCACTCACAGGAAAGCATGCAGGACCACAGCTGCAGCCAGACTCAAACCCTCATGCTTACAGAGTGGGCACCTGTGATGGAGGAGGGATCCATGTAAGTGTGAGCACCCTGTCTTCTTTTCCCAGGCATAACATGGGGCAAGGTGGTGTCTCTCTACGCTGTGGCAGCGGGGCTGGCAGTGGACTGTGTGCGTCATGCACAGCCAGCCATGGTCCACACCATCGTGGACTGCCTGGGAGAGTTTGTCCGCAAGACCTTGGTGACGTGGCTGAAGAGGCGAGGAGGCTGGGTAAGAGATGCTGGCTGGTCTGGCTTGCTTCCCCGTGGGCAGACTAGGAAACAGCCCAGTTAATGCATCTTGTTGTAGAATAGCATTGAGTGAGATTGTTCCTGTGCTAGGCTCTCATAGCTCTGTTACTATCTCCTCGCCCTGTCCTCAACAGCTTCAGCTGTTCTGGTCTTCAGCTTCCTGTGCACTAATTCAATCCTCACCCACTGATGCCTCTTCTGTTCCTGTCCTGAATTTCTCTGGAGCAGGCACACAGTTGTAGTAGCAGACTGTAAACAGGAGCCATCACCCGGTGTTTGATTTCTGTGGTTCTCTCTATAGCCCATGGGAAATACAGTGCTCCTATGGAGAACAGTTTGGAGTAAGAGCTTTGTTTAGGTGCTGTGAAATAGCTAGACACCTCACCAGTGGCCTCCCCAGGAGCTCGAGCTGATGGCTGAGCTGCGGCAGAGTCAGAAGCAGGGTGATGTGCATGAAGGGGGGCAGCTGGAAAGGTAGCAGTGTCCTGATTTTTGGATTCCTTGCCACCTAAGAGTCATTGCCACCTTTGGTCATCCCTGCTCTCTCTAAAGCTGCCACCTTGGGGCCAGTGGGCTGATTGGCTGGGCTGGAGAGTAACCATTGTATTGAATGCCCCAACTTTTTTGTGTGTTTCATTTTGTGTCTGCACAAATAATTGTGCTGAGGTACTGGAGAGGATGCCCTGGGAAAGAACTCACCAAGCTGCACTGTTCCTGTCCCCACCTCAGCCCATCAGTGAGGTTTATTCTGAGCACCTGTGGGGCTGGTTGAAATGTTTTCTCTGAAAGTTTTTCCTTTGGGGGGAAAAAAAAACCAAAAGTTTCCTTAAAATTGGAATGTTGCACAGGAATGTGCCCCCTTCTAGTTTCCCAACTAAGTTGCTTCCTTGTTCTGGTAAACCATGTATGTTCAGATAAGTTAACATCTTGTTTTAATTTTTGTGGTGTGTTGTTAGACTTCAAAACAAAGAGTTTGATAGTTCCAAATGGATATTTTTGGAAAGTCTGCTGCATAGCAAGCAAGCCACAGAGCCCATCCCCTGCCCAGAATGGGCTCTCAGCAGCTGAGGAGAGGAGCCCTGTCCTTGTCTGCTCCTGGTGCAGCCGTTTCTACTCGAGTGCCATTGCATTTGCCCTGGTGCTGCTGAAGCCATGCTGCTTGCTCTCAGGATCCGGCCCTTGGAAAGGGAAGCCCCTGATCAGACAAGAAAGCTGTGAAAGCTGCTGGTTGGTGCTGATTGCCTCCTGTTGTAAGCATGCTTATCAGCAGCTCTGGGCTGCACAGAGGAGATAGCTTCCCTCCAGAAACAAGTGGCTCCTTCAGCTGAGGGGAAGTCTCCTCATCCCTGTGCCTTTGTGCTGTGTTTTCCTGAATGTTGTTCCTCTCAGCTAGGCACTGCAGCGTGACATTTCTCAGCCCTGTTCCCAGAAGGGCCATGCTCTGTGCTGGAGTCCCTTTCATCTGGTGCCTGACCTCACTGCCGTTGGTTTGTCTTGGCCTGGTGTCCGCCTTTCCTCTGTGCACATGGCCCCACCACACACCTGCTTGGGCTGCCAAGAGGAACCTCTGTGCTCCGGGCTGTGCCGGGAGAGCCTCTGCTCAGCAGTAGGGGCCCATATGGTCTATTATGGCCCCCCAGTCCCATATTTTATAGGGTGGAGAAAGCCTCTAACTGCCATGGTCCAACACCTCACAAGCCCAACACCTTTAGGAGGAAGAAAAAACATTTAACTCTTGGGGATACCATCTCTGCCCAAGGAGCATTCGCAGCCTCAGCAGTGGCTTTGCAGGGGAGTAGAAAGGTTTTTTAGCAGCTGCTATGGATGTTTGCTCCACAGAAGAGCTTGAGACCCGAACTTGTTCAATGAATAAATAGCAGGCAGAGATCAAACTGTCACTGTAGCAGCTTATCAGTGCCTCACAAAGGCCTTTTTAATTAAGCGGCTTTGAAATGTTCAGTTTCAGTGCCTTATCTGGTACGCTTTGTTTGGATTACAATAACCAAGGCAATTGTTCAACAGCTGAGCAGTTGTGTTTATCTAAGCGAGCGCAGTACCAGTCTCAAGGTGCTGCTGAGCACGGCTCCTCTCAGCTGGCCACATTAGAGTGCTCATTACATCAGCACAGAGCAGGTGATGCTCATCTCAGATCAGCCATCTCTGTAGCTGCCACTCACTGTGTGCATTCACCCAGCACTGATTACCGTGAGGCTCTGGCTCACAGGGAGCCGTGGGCACTGCTGGCACTGAGTGTCAAGACTTTCACAGCTGCAGCATTTCTCTACCTTGCTGTTCACCCCAGGAATTTCCCATGCACTGATCCAGCTTCCTGCTGCTTTCCACTCCTCCCTACTCAAGCCACCTCTGCTCGCCGGGTGTGTATGAGCTCAGAGACCCCAAAGCAGCATGGTAATGCAGCATGCCAGCCTTCAGGCTTCCTGGGGCTGCTGTTATCAGACCTTCCACACGTAGATGATCTTAGCATCAGTTAACAAAGCTGTATTCGCTTTGTCCCTGTGTCCACCCTCTTGTTTTCTTCTAACTATTGCCAAGATGGCTCAAGTGTGTCTCACTGGCATCTTGAATGCAGGTGGGAACACTGGAAAAGATTATTGGGATGTTCCGTGATCCTTATTCCTCTCTTCAAGGAGGGCTGCACTCTTCTCAGTCGTAGGATCACAGAATGATTTGAGTTGGAAGGGACTTTGGGGAACAGTGCCAGGGTCTCACCATCCCCTGCGTAAATAATTTTTTCCTAACATCTGACCTAAGTCTCCCCTCTCTTAGTTTAAAACCATTCCCCCTTGTCTTATCAAAATCAGATTGTGCAAAAAGCTCACTCCTGCTTTTATGCTTCCTTCAACCACTGAAAGGCCACATTGAGGTCTCCCCATAGCCTTCTCTTCTCCAAGCTTAACAAGCCCAGCTCCTTCAGCCTGTCTTCATAGGAAAGGTGTTCCAGCCCTCTGATCATTTTCATGGCCCTCCTCTGGACCTCCTTTAACATCCGTTAAACATCCAAACTCTGCATCTGTCTTCTTCTGGGGCCTCAGGTCTGGACATAGTACTCCAGTCAGAGAAGGGCTGCTTGCCAAGGTGTAAAGAGAAAGCTGTGAGGCCAATGGATATTAGCTCTCCTTGTCTCTCAGTTTTGGTTCACTTTTGCCACCCTACAGTCCCTGGTATTTCTGAAAACCTCATCAAACTGATATGGTAACAGTGCACCCTGTGTCACAGAGCTGCAGCCCATAGTTCCTTGTGCTTGCCTGATGTTTAACCACAACACAAATTTTGCAGGCAAAATTGCAGGTAAGCGAATGAAAATTTGCTTACCCCTCCCAGAAGATGTAATTTTCTATCCGCTTCTGTCCTGTTCGCTTTGCCCTCCAGATATTTTCTGCTCTCTCCTCCCCGTCCCAGCCGAGATCGCATCTCCATGAATTCACTGCATTGTTATTTCTGCTCATCGCTGGCTGCCATTCCTGTCAATACCTGACAGTGGCTGCCCAGCAATCCATACCTCTTGGCCCATGTGCTGGGCAGCACCGCAGCCAGCAGACACATTCCCACAAACAAAGCTTGCATTGCTCGCGATTTAAATCATGGATTTACTTCCTTGAACGAGTTCCAAATAAAACATTAAGGCAAGAGAAAAAGTGCAAGCAACTTGAGCTGATATTAAACAGGACAACCTCAGGGAAGCATCGTGCTTTGCAGAAAGGGATGGGAAGGCTGTTGTTGCCAAGGCTTCTCCTGGGAAAGGGAGGAAAGTTTCTTTTATTTTGCTGTTGAAAATGGAAATGCTTGCTGATCTTTCTGTAGCATTCCTTTTCCCAGGTGTGGCTTGTTTTGAGGTACGCAGTGGCCGGGTGGGTCTGGGCATGGCCGCTGACCTCTGCTCCCCCTCCTCAGGCAGACATCACCAAGTGCGTGGTGAGCACCGACCCCAGTCTCCGCTCCCACTGGCTCGTGGCCGCCATCTGCAGCTTTGGGCACTTCCTCAAGGCCGTCTTCTTCGTGTTGCTGCCCGAGAGATGAGTCCCACTGCCCCGTGCCCCATCTCCTCCCCCACTCCAGAAGCAGTGGCCGTGGGCTCTGAAGAGGAGGAAAAGAAGAACTGGTACAGACGCAACTTGTTCTCCACTCCCTTAGCTGGTGGCAGCTGATGGACTTCATTCTCCTTTGATGGCCACAGGAGCCTCTCCCACCGTTCATGTCCCAGGGACCCTGTTTCCCATGGGGACCAGAGGAGGAAGGAGCTACGATTTGAAATGAAATGGGAAGAAGAGAGGAGGAGCAGCCCTCCCTCAGTGCATGCAATCCCCTTTCAGTCTTCAGACTCGCCTTGTGTCACTTCTTGTTGTGTTTTGCTAAGACTCCATCTCCTCCTCGCTCTCTGGACTCGCTCCTCCTCGCTCTGTCATTGGGCTCTCCCCACAGCACAGCGTGACAGACCTACCGTGCTGTGATGGGATTTGCATGGGATGAAACCAGATGTACCATCATCAGATGCTTCCCCCTCTGACCTTCCTTGGGAAATGCATTTTGTGGTGTGTGTGCAGAGCAGCTGCATGGGATACAGTTGGCAAGGGCGCTGCTCTGACCTCTTACGGAGCCCGCATGCATCACATCAGACAAGGAACTGAGCAACAACTCAGGTTGGAATTTTGCAGTGAAGACAAAGCTCAGTTTGTAAGTGGGACAGGTGAGATGAGGGAAGCAGTAAGAGAGCTGCCTGGTATCACGAATGGGGAAAGCTGTGTCAAAAGGAACTGCTTTATATTTCTCCCTTATTGTCTTCAGGAGTACAGCCTATAGTCCTCTTTGTATTGTACAATAAAAGCAAGTAGGTGTTGTTTATTGTAAAGGGTAATGTATTTGTTTCCAGAGTTAAAAATTCCAAAAAAGGCCAAAACAGTGCAGAGACCAACACTGGAGCCATGCTAAAAATACTCCAGCATTTCCCCTGGTAGAAGATGCTAATGTGTTAAAAGCACCACCCGTCTGCTTCGTGTCGGGGTTTGGGCCATGGTGTGGCCATGTCACAAGTGTTTGTTGCAGGGACAGGTGAGCTGCTCTTGTACAACCAGAGTGGGTGTAGTGTGCGTGGTGAGCTGAGCCAACCACACTGAGAGCACAGAGAGCAGTAACTGCAGTGGAAGCAGACTGCTAGGAGGATGCAGCTTCTTTGTCTCAAAGAAGCTTACTAAAACCAGATTTGTCCTTCCTGGGAGAACCTCGGCTGTGTGTCACTTGGAGTCAGACAGCTCTGCAGCTGGTAAAGTGCAGCCCATCTTGTCATGCCTTGTGCTTTATGGGGTGTGGGTGAGCTCACGGAGCCAACATGGTCACACTGCAACTGCAAAGACCTTCCTCAGTTTGGATGCTACTCTGAAATGTAATGCTTTAGGCTATGACTGCTCTTAGAATAAACAAGGGATATCAGAAGGACCAACAAACAACATCAAGAGTTAAAGGCACCAATTAAGTCAGTTTGAGAAAAAGATAAGAATGATAAGCCAAAGAAAGCAGCATTGCTGGAAAGGAATGTGTGTGGGTGGGAAGGGGCTGCACATAAGGCAGACAGCAATTCCATCTGGAAGCTGCAGACTGCGAAGGGCTGAGGAAGATCCCTGTGAGCAGGTCTCAGTCCTTCACCTGCAGCAAAATGCAGCATTACTCACATCCTGGGTGCTGTGGAGGATGTGGATTCCCAGTGATATCCGTGTGTGGTTTTTGTGAGCTGGATGCACAATGCATGGCTGGGCAAGTGGTGTGCAGAGAGGCTGGAGCAGCCGATCCTCTGGTTTGTGCTCTCCCAGGCAGACTTCTGCAGCTTGCTTCTTTCTTTTCCCATTTGCTAATACGTGTGCAGACTGCATTCAGCATGCTGCTTGTACCATGCCTGTTAAACCAGGAAAATGCTTCCAGAGTCCCATGGGCTCTCCTTGTGGGACAACCATGCAGCCGGAGGAGCCCTGAGCTACTAGCTCCTAAACCACAATGGCCCTTAAACTATATTCCTAACTCAGCCCAAATTTTGGGGCTGTCAGAGTGTGTCTGCTTTCTCACTCCCTGTGCAACAACCACATTGACACCAGTCCTCCTACCAAAACAAATAGCAAGCAGTACTGTTTGTGCTGTCATGCATTTCTAAGCAGTGGTTTCAAGCCTGATTTAGCTGGGTATTTATACTGTGTTCAGCTCTACTTGTAATATTTAGGCATTTCAGAGTACTTCCAGAGGTCCTTGACAATCTCAACGAGTTTGTGGTTCTGTGGTTTCTTGTCCTTTTTAGTCCTACCTGATGGAGGCATCGGGTTGGTTGTTTATCACCCCAGTAAACACCTTCCTTTTATGTGATGGGTAAAGATCTTGGAGTTGTGTTGAGTTTATTTAGCAGCTGAGGAAAAGGACACCTTTTGTGGAAGCTGGAAGAGGAAGAACTAGGTAACATGGCTGCCCCTCACCAGCTGGCCTGCAATTCCTATGCTCACATAAAGTGCTATGAAGTGCTGCTGCCTTGCTGCCACACTGAAATGAGCTTAGGCTGTTGTTCTGGGGGGCGTGGGAGATGCCCAGGCAATAGCAGGGGGAGGGAGAAAGGGCTGCAGTGGGGAAACAGCACTCAGTCAATGGAAATATTTGTTTTATCAGAACAGTAGAGAGTAGAAAAGCTATCTTGGCTGGGGTGTTGCAGAGACAGGCACTCGAGCAGTGCTTATCGTGTCCTAGAGCTGACATTGCTTGAGACACAGCCTCACTTACACACTCACTTACACGCCTGGTCAAACACTGGCGCTTGGTTGACCTTCTTCAAAGTGCCAGGAGGAACTGAAGTGGTCTCACAGTTGCCTAGATGACATCACGTGGCCCTGCACTGCCATTTCTCTTGTAAATGGAAAGAAAGCAACCTGTGAAGCCCTTGATTTATCAGACTTGCATCTGTATTTTATACTGAAGTACCAAACAATGGTCAGGGAGCGACATTAAGTATTTTCTGCAAAAGTGAAGTACCAAACTTCCCCATTTTCAGCCTTGTTGTTTGGACCTTGAGAAAAAAAGTCTTGTCTCATTTTCTGTGATTCTTCTTTTAGTGTGCAAGCTCCTTGTGTGGATTTTGTGTGCAGTTAAGTTGAAGATGAAGCAGGTCTCGAGTCTCTCAGATGGCTTTCCGAGAAGATCAGGCCCCCGAGTTGTTCCGATGGCCTTGCCAAGAGGTTTCTTCACATGCCTCTCACCCACATGTGGTTCCTTGAATTCCATTTCTTCACTGGTACTGTTTTTCTGTCAATCTAGGTTTCGTAATTTTTGTAGCCATAAATTTGCCACGGTTTAGTTATTTTCTTAGGGCAACATGAAAACAATACATTTCACCAAACCAAAGACAAGGAAACAGCTAACAGCTAACTTAATATACTGCTGGCAGAGTCTATAAATTTCTTTTATCCAAGTGGTTTGACAGATGGAGTTTAAATACTCCTCAGAAAAGCCCGTAACCTCTTCAACTCTAAACATTTTGACCCACTGGGATTATGAGCCTGCAGCAGAGCTAAACAGAGTGATCCTCAGCTGAACTTTACACCACCGTGCAAGACCTGGAAGTGCACTGCACGTTCAAGCAGAGTCTGTGGGAAATAGAGCACTCCTGGGTCAACCACATGACTGACCCAGAGGCAAGGTCCAGAGACTGTTCAGGCAAGGTCATATAAAAAAGACTTCCCTTCCACAAGAAAAAAAATTAAAAATGTGTTGGGGAAATGATTTCCAACTTCCTTACAAACATATTTCAGACTTCAATCTCAGAAGAAGCTTCCTCTCGTTCCTTGGCCCAAAGCTATTGATAGCACTACAGCTTTCATTCTCCATCATAGTATCATAGAGTCGTTAAAGTTAGAAAAGACCTCTAAGACCATCAGGTCCATCCATTGACCTACCACCAATATTGCCCACTAAACCACGTCCCTCAGTGCCACATCTCCACTGTTCTGGAACACCTAAAGAGATGGTGACTCCCCCACCTCCCTGGACAGCCCATGCTGGTGCCTCAGTGCTCTTTCAGAGAAGTCTTTCCTAATATTCACCCTGAAGCTGGCACAGCTTAAGGTCATCACCTCTCATCCTATTGCTGTAACCCAATTGACCTGTTTTGTCACAACCTCCTCTCAAGGAGTTGCAGAGAGCAATGAGGTCTCCCCCGAGCCTTCTTTTCTGCAGACTACCCATCTCAGCTCCCTCACCCGCTCCCCATAACACTTGTGCTCCAGGCCTTTGATGTCATATCTCTACTTTTGTCAGAGCTTGGATGGCTAAAGCTGAGCTCAGAACAAAGGGCTAAAGAAACCAATCTATTGTTTCCACTGCTGGTCCTATCTCATGACCTTCTCTCGTGCTTGCATTATTCCACACAGAAGCTAGATAAGGTGAGTTCCCACCTCCAGAATGCTCCATCCCATACTGGAACGTGACCTTGATCCCAAGTCCCTTCCAATCCACTGAATGGCACGCTAGAGCACGGTGAGGCACTGAGAGCTTTGTGGTCACTGATCTGCTGGGAGGCAAGAGGATGAGCAGGACAAGCCTCACACCAGCTCTTGGTCCCCAGCACAGCAAAGAAGAGGAACTGCAAGGTTGAATCTGAAGCGCTCTCAGTTTCACCACGTCACCTCTTTGCACCTCATGTGACAGTGCTGTGCTGTGATCAACACAGAGGCGGTTTTGTTCCCGTTTCCCACCAGAATTAAGCCTGATTTTTCTGGTGATCTGAAGATTTAAAAAAAAAAAAAAAAAAAAAAGTCTTTTATTTTAATCTCATTGGCACTTCAAAGGAAAATTTGAATCATCGCTAAGCTGCTAGAACATTGCTCTCAGTTCCTCAGCCAGGAGATACTAAGAGTGCCTTCTGAAGCCTGGCAAGCTTCCACAAGCAAAATCCCTGTCCTGTTTGGTGCTGGAGGGGCTGTCAGAGCTCCTAGGGAATGATGCCTGAGGCCATGGCCATCCCAGTAACCCAGCAAGCTGCTTTCTGTCCCAGAGGATGCAGAGGGGAGGCCTCATGGCAGTCTCCATCTCCAAACTGCCCGATCTCAAGGAGTGTTTGGACACGGCTCTCACACATAGAGTTTGCCTTGGTGATCCCTGTGGGTCCTTTCCAACTGAGGATATTCCATGATTCTATAAGTTATGCAGGAGAGAGCATGACTGGTGCTTGTGCTCGCAGCACAGGCTGTTGTTTGCTGTTGCCATTCTCTGGGCTGGTGCACGCTGCAAGCCATGGGGTCGTGGCTGATGCTAAATTATCCAAAGCTGTGAAAAGATGCTTCAAATGTCTGTGTCCTTGGTTTTTATGGCTTAACTGGAGAAGGAGAACAGCACTGCTAAAAATACTTACATGTTCAGTGTAGCATTCTGTCTCTGAGGGAGAGCAATGGCCTCACAAAGTGAAGCCAAAGCTGTATATTATTACAAGCAATAAACCTACTGGAGTCTGTAGCTGGCGTGCTCTAAATTACGAGCCAGCCTTTCCAAAGCCTACAGCACAGAGGTAGGAAGACTGGAAAAGTAGCACAGTAGCTTTGCTTAAATTCAAGCAGACTAATTAAGGGGGAAAAAATTCAATTTAGTAGCATGCTCTGTATTATTTTGAGAGGGTGTTCACACACCTGAGGGCACAGCAGCCCCCATCACCCTGCACCTCAGCCCTTCAGCCCATTGCTGCATGCCATCACGTAGGGGATGTCTTGGGGACACCAGGAGCCTGGGCTGACAATGTTCTGGGCAAGATTGATTTGCTGCTACTTCCATCGGCCCATGTAGGAGTTTGTAAAAGGAGAGGCACTGAGAGAAAGGACAGTGAAAAGAGTTGAGGAGCACAGTATGGTCAAAGAGCGTCCATGGATGCACAGCGTGATTTCCAGTGAAGATAGCTTCTTACTGAGGAGCGTTTGTTGACTGTATTTATATCTACAGACATAAAAATTTCAATCACTCCTTCTTTTGAAAGGCGTAATAGCAGCTGAGAAAACATTTGTCCTTTTTCAAAGGGCTGTATTTACGTTAGCATTGGAGTGATCCAATACGGAGGCACCGGGCAGGGCTGGAGGGGACTTGCTTCTGCCCTTGAAGATGGAGTAGAGGCTTACATCAAAAGTGGGATTTAATCCTGCTGTTTTTCACTTAAAAGATTTAGCAAAGTGCCTCCCTTTTACTTCAGCAGTGTCTCCAAGCACTCTCAGGCTTTAAAGAAGCAAAATAGAGTTGTTTTTCTTATTTTTAAAGCTAGCAGTGATCAGCTGGGGGACAGGAGTCCTTCTCACATGCCCCATGTCTCGGCCCCAGCCTCCCCAGCTCCAACACTTGTACTTCTGCTGCAATCTCTCTGACATTTTCCAATCTTTTCACATTCATATTTTAACATTCAATATCAAGGTTACTCAAGACATGTCCGTACAGGGGTTGGGTATAGCTGTGGGTATAGCCATCTGTGCCATTAAGCCAACCCCAAGCAGCCACACTGCAAACTTAATTCCTTTCAAAGGAGTGCTGGAGCCAAAAACTGGTGAATTAGAGGGAAATACGGGAGAGGTTCGCTCATAAAAACTCCTCCACTCTTTTTTGTTTGAGCTAATGGATCCCTCCAGCTGATGCAATTGGAACGATTTGTCTGGTTCATGACGTGAAGGGGAAAACTATGGGGAAGAGGGGAATGGGATGCTGCTGGCTGGTCCTGCATGTCCCACTGTCAGACTTCTAAGCTTCTCTCTTGCTTCAAGTTGCATGCAGGGTTTTGCAGCTCCCTGGGGCATCATGCAGCTTTCCCCAGGGGCCAGATAAATCAACGCACACGTCAATGTGTTGTTGCCATTCATATGTATCCAAATGAGGAGGTGTGTTTAAAACATTTCTAAAAACAGCTTGTGGTTTTGACCTAAGAAAAGACATGAATGATTTCCAGAAGAAAACTTGAGATCCAAGCACACTTACTACGTTTACATCTCCTGTGATACAGCTGCGCCGGCCTCACTTTCCAGGAGTAGGAGCAGCAAGAGTGTGCAGAACACAGAGAAAAAGCTTGGAAAATATGTGCACATGTGCCTGATCTCCAGGCACTCATGGGAGAAGATAAACAATTTGCTTGGAAATAATCCTGACACCTTCCTCTCCTCATTTAGCAACCACTCAACCTGCTGAAGAAAGTGTGTTAGTTGACTTAAAAGCTTTCACAGGACCTAAAGACTGTTTTATCTCCTCCTTGGTGGCTGCTCTCTGGGATGGCCGACTTGCTGGGTCTTCATGGGATGTTTGCAAGGAGGTGCTTACAAGGAGGTATATATGCTGCTTTCATCTCTTCCTGTTACAATGCTGTGGAGAAAA